GCTGAGGCAGGAGTACTGCACAGATTCAAAGCCAGCGTGGGCTACATACTGAGTTCAAGGCCAGCTTGGACTACACAGCAGGATTCTGTCTCAAAAAAAAAAAAAAGTAAGACCTTTTTTATGTAGAGAGTTTGCTGGAAGTATGAGATAATTAGGGAAAAGATTCTGAGTGAGAACTGAACAGGTTGCACAGATACAAACGCAAGAGTGAGGTGGGATGAAGTGAGTTTGGTGATGAGAAAATAGGAAGACAAAGTGGACAAAGGCAGAGATCTATTTCAGAGATAGCGTTACTTGTTAGTGGATTGGCGCTTGTTTAAAGAATAACCAGCCAGTGTGGCAGTGCATGCCTGTAATCCCAGCTACTGGGAAGACTGAAGTAGGTCTGCATAATTTAATGAGCTCCTCTAAAAAACAGGCTGGGGATATAGCATCATAGTAGAATGCTTGCCTAGCATGCATGAGGTATTGGGCATAATCTCCAGTTAAAAAAAGATCAACACCAAAAACAACTACCAATGGTTTTTAGTAAACAACCTTAGGTTTATTTTTAATGTACCTATAAAACTTTGCCTTTTTTTTTTTTTTTTTTTTTTTTTGTCTTTTTGAGACAGGATCTCACTGTGAGGCTGGGGAAACAGCCATGTGTCACCATGCCTGGCTCAAACTTGGTTTTTGGTTTCCTAATATTTGGGGAAGTGTTTTCTTGTTAGTACCTTAAAAAAATTGTGCATCTTCTGATTTTTAAATTACTGCTTACTTTATCAAGTTAATATATATGCATACCCTGAATATAAAGCTAACGTTTAAAAAGGCCAAATAACAAAGATGCAGTGGCTCTGTTCCCCAAGTTCTTTTCCTCAGACAACCTCTTTATTTTTAGCCATTTTATCTGCCATTGTGCACCTTTGCATTTCATCTTGCCGCACAGTACGTATGACTTTAGATCTGTTCTGCTGCCTGCTTTGCCCAGTTGTAGTCCACCTTTCACATACAGATACATTACAGTATTTGGTTAAACCAGTATTCAATATTTGCAGTATTGTGCCTGTATAAAGACCGTTTATAGCTAAAGTTGCAGTGCATTAAATTATTATTTTTAAAATATAAACTTGCTTGTGATTTACAGAAAATTGTAAAGGGTAGTTTGGCATGGTGGGCTATATCTATAATACCAGCACTCAGGAGACTGAGACAGGAGAATCACTGTAAGTTTGAGGCCAGCCTGGGCTACCTAGTGAGTTCAGGGCCAGCATGAACTACACAGAGAGGCCATGTCTCAAAGAAAAAAAACTGAAGGATAATACATATAGTTTCCATATGCCTTGTATCATTCTCCCAATTAACCATTTACACTAGGATGATACATTTGTCATAGTTAATGAGCCCATATTGATATATAATTATCTTGTTGAGATGCTCTCGCTGTACGGTTCAAGCTGGCCTTGAACTTTGTAGCCCGGGTTGGTCTTGAACTTGCAATAATCCTGCATAGCCTGATATGGTGATTTTTTCTTCTCTCAGATTAAAAAGTGTATTTTCGAGACTACTCATTCTTGAGAGCGCATTTGGACACAGATTGAAATAGTTTTCTTTGAGAAGTTGGGAGACACTGTTCTATTGTCTTCTAGTTTCCAGTGTTACTATCAAGAATTCCAAAACCTTTCTGATTTTGGTCTGACAATTTGTATATGAGATGTTCCTCCCTCTTCCACTTTTACCCATGGTGTTCTGATGTCTTAGAGATTTGTTAAATGATAATGTGCCTGCTTTCACTTTACGTGGCACCTTTCAGTTTAGAAACATGACATTCACTTCTGGAAATTTTCTCCATTTATATTACTTGATTTCTTTTGTATTTGTCTAACTCTTTCTGGAAGTCTCATCATTTTAATATTGGATGTTCTGGACTCACTTTTCATTCCTAATTTTCATTTTTGTCACTTCGCCGTACTTTTGGGGAGGGATTTTTTTTTTTCCTGTTTTCAGATTTTTTAAAAATAGCACTGAGTCTGTAATCTTGGGAAGCTGAGGCAGGAAAACTGCCATGAGTTCAAGGCCAGCATGGACTACATTTTAAAAAGCTAGTAAATAAAGAAGTACCAGGGATTAAATCCAGCCAAGACCTGGTCGTAGTGAAGTGCTCTACCACTGTGGTACATCAAACATTACTTTTTTTATTTTGAAACAAATTCTTGCTAAATTGCCCTGTATGACCTCAGATTTCTCAATCCTCTTGCCTCAGCCTCTTGAGTGGCAGTGATTACAGGCAGATACCACCATACCTAGCTATTTCTTTCCTTTTTTTTAAATACCAGAGCTTGAACCCAGGACCCATGTGGAGCTGAATTCCCAGCTCTTTACAATTTTTTTTTTTTTGAGGCAGGGTCTGGTCAAGCCACTTAGGCTGGGTTCAGCCTATAGTCCTCCTACCTCAGACTTCCCAAGCCTGTGGTTATTATTATTACCTGCCTCCTCTTGCTCCTATTTTTAATAGATTCCTGTTACTGTTTAGATGGAGTATCTTTCTGAGAATACTAATGATAGTAAAGTTTTTGAGGTTTTCTTCCCCCTCCCAGTTTTTGTTTTCTCCAAGTTATTATTATTTTTACTTCCAAGCTTTTTTCCATGCAGGTGATTCCCCAGATTTGTTAGTTCTTGGATATCTCCTCATGATTAGAAGTTAGTGTCAAAAACTGTCTAGAAAAATACTTTTCTTCTTTCAGGTGAAGATGTAGCTGCCAGCCTTTGCAGGAGTCCAGCGTTCATCATTCAGTATCCCCCACAGGCTAAGCCTGTCTCTTTTACCCTCTCTAGAGAAGTAATCTCCAGAGCAGAGGCTGGGACAGGGGATCCTTCTCATCCCCAGCGTTCACTCAGTCCTTACTTTAACAACCTCCTGCATGTTCTTGGGTTATCTGTTATGCCCTCTTGAGAAGCTGGTTTTGTGCTGTGCAGATCAGATCTGCTTTCGGCTTTTCACTACCAGTGTAAATTTGGATTTCCTAAGGACTTCTTATCCATTGGCTTCCGAGGTTACCGATACCTTGTCTCCTTTTCTATTTTTCCTATCTTCAAAAGAGAAAATTTGAAAGAAAGGGAAAAAAGTTTTGTAGTTTTATTGTTATGTCTTTTTAACCGTGACATGGAGCAGACCTATCAACATGTTTTTATCCGTCCATCACTGATAGAATTTGCTTCCAAATAATGCAGTATCCTTGCATATACCTTTCCTTCCTTCCCTAATCATAACTAACTGGGCAGGATGGGGAGTAAACCATGGTGCAGGTAGATCCTGCAGCCCTTAGTCTTTGGATAACCCCGGATGTGGCAGATCTCTGGGTAGTCACCCAGCTGCTCTCAGAACTCTGTCCCCGGAAAATTGGCTGGGACCAGGGGGACCGACACTAAATATTCATTGACTGAGCAGCTGAATTTGAGAATCTGGTATGCGGAGATGTATGTAGGTATATAGTTATGTATGGCTACACAGATTTTTTGGTGTCTTTGCACTAGAAATTGTTCATGCTTTCTATTTTAAAAACATAGCTTTTAAAACAGTATTTATACTTTTATAATTTTCATAATATTTCCTCTCAGGTTATTGAATCCTTTTTAAATTTTTGGTCTTTGGTTTTTTTTTTTTTTTCTTTTTCAATGTCTTTGACATTTTGTATATTATGTAATTATGTACTTTAAATTTGTGGAAATATTTTCCTGTATTTTGTAGCTTTTTTTTTTTTAACTACATAGAGAAATTTTTTTTTTTTTTTTTGAGACAGGGTCTTGTTATGTAGTCTAGGCTGGCCTTGAACTTTTGGAGATCCTCCTGCCTCAGCCTTCCTAGTGCTGGGGTTACTGTCTAGCGCTACCACGCCCAGTTTAAGTAGTTCCTTTTAAAATCCATTTTACACTACATTTCTGTACAGAGATCTATTTCTAAGTGACTTGATTCCCTCGATTATTTGCCAATTTCATTGCAGAATCAAGTTCATTTAATTACTATGGTTTTATGGTTTGTTTTGATGTCCAAAATAACTCATTGCCTCCTTCATTTTTATTTTTCAAAATTGCCCTGGCTGGCTGGGAAATATAGCTCAGTGGTGCAGGTGCCTGCTTGGCAAGCACCAGGTCCTGAGTTCGATTCCCAACACCCTCTCCAAAACATCAGCTATGCGTTTGCAAACAAATTTTATGAATACCTTATCATTTTTCCTGTTGGGGCTTGGACTCTATTGACCTGTCAGTTTGATGAAAAGTTGTCCTTAAGTGTAGAACTGATTGTTGCCGCGTGTGGTGGTGCACCTCTGTAGTCCCAGCACTAAGGAAGCAGGACGGTCACTGAGCCCAGCCTGGGCTACATAGTGAGTTCAAGGCCAGGGTGATCAACACTGCAAGATCCTATCTCAAAAAACAAGTTTGTTAAAGAACAGTCTACCCGACACTAAGTAAATGTAGTACTTCTAGTGCAAGCACTTTGTACTGGCACTGCAGCAAAACTGTATTATTCTGTCCGTGTAAACTGCTTGCTTTCATCAGCAGACGCTGCTAGGTGCCTCGCGTGGATCTGCTGTGGAGTCCGCAGAGCTGTAGTTCCTCCGGGAGGTGCGGCGACCTCTACGGCGCATACTGGGGCGTCCGGAGTTGCCCCTTCCAGGGCGGCCGAGGCGAGGGCTCTGCCGGGCCGGGCTGGCCGGAGCCGCTCACGGGATCCGATCGTCCGCTCCGCGCTCCGGAACGTCTGTGGGCGTCGCGGGCTCCCGGCCGGCTCAGCCCGAGTCCGCGAGGCTCGGCGGGGCGGGCCGGCCGCGCCGCACTCCGGGTCTCCGCGCTCCTGCCGGGCCGCAGCGGAAGCGGGAGGCCCGCCGCGCACAGGCTCGGTCGCGGAGCCGGCGCTTCCTGGTCCCGCTCCTCGGGATCCCGGCGCCGGGGCCGGGCGCAGGCTGGGTCCGCGCCTCGCCAGCAGGGGGAACCGGGGCGGGCGCTCGGCCTGGGCCCCGCCCCGCGCTCCGCCGCCCGCCGCGCCCCGCCCCGCAGCCCCGCCGCCCGCAGCGCGGCCGCCCGGCCATGGAGGTGTCCATCCCGTCCTTTCGCTACGAGGAGAGCGACCTGGAGCGCGGGTACACGGTAGGCGCCCCCTCCTGCGCCCCGCGCCCCCGGCCCCGCCGCCCGGCTGCAGCGGCGGCTCGGAGGACGCGGCGGCCCGGACCTCGGCGAGGAGGGAGCTGGCGGCGGCCTGCTCCAGGGGCGCGCTCCGCTCCCGCCTGCCCGCGCCGGCCCTCCCCTCCCTCGCGGGCCCGATGCGGGTCGGGCTGCCGGGGAGGCCCGCGCGGGGGGCGCCACCTGCGCCTGCCCGGCCCGCTGCCGACAGTGTCCGCCGGCTCGCCGGGTCGGCCTTTCTGCCCTCTCCCACTCCGAGACCTCGCCGGGGGCGCAGTGTTTTACGCGCGTGTTTCGGGCCTGCGGGCGACGCCGGGGTGTTCGGGGCTGGGGTTGCAGAGCGCAGCCTGGAAAGCGGGACCGCGTCGCGCCCTGCTGCGGCCGCGCACTGATTGATGCGCTGCCTCTTCTCCCTTTAGTGGTAGCGTCGGTACTTGGTGACCATCCTTCTGAGCCGTGGTGCTTTCACAGTGAGAACTAAATCACTTTCACAAAGGAAGACGTGCAATTAAAGCAGGGCTTGGGGAGACTTCCAGGCTTCACGTGGGATTCCAGAGTTACATGGACGCTGGGTCTGAGCACCCCAAACCTCAGCACTTTCGGGGGTGAGGAAAGCGCTGTGAGAGCAGGCAGGCCCTCGTGGGCGGCGCTGTGTCAGGCTGGCCTGGTGTGTGAACATTGGCTAAGTAGCCTTTTAAGAAAGAAAGAAAAAAAAAGAGCTTCAACCCTTTCGAAGCTATTTCCTTGGAGTTTTATCTAAGACTAACACCCTGGCTGCCTTTCATTCTCCCAGAGGTCATTGCCCTTTGCCTATTGGTGACTCAGTGAGGCTACCCTTTTCCAGGCATTAATTTAGGATCTGAACTTCATTGGATCCTGTTTAAGCCTTGGTCTTCAGCTAAAAGATGAAGTTGGCTTCAGAGGTCCAAACCAAAAGTTAACTACCTGCAAATATAAGCACTTTTAAATAGATCAAAATTCAGGCTTGCTGCCTATTTATTTTTCTTTTGTTAGGGGATCTGTATTTTCCCCGCCTGAAGTTTTCAACTATGTATCTATTTATTACTTGGTGATCATGTTTATGTTTTTAAATTTTGAAAAAGTTACAGTAGATGTAATTCAGTGATAAATTTAAAGTAGAAGTGATAGCCAGGCTTGGTGCACACCTGTAATTCAGGCACTTATGAGGCCGAGGCAGGAGAATCATTAGGACTTTGAAGCCAACCTGAGCTGTAAAGTGAGTTGAAGCCAGCTTGCATTACCCAGTGAGACCCTGTCTCACCCCCCCCCCCGCAGAAGTAGAGGTGTTAGCCTGCTAATGCCTCGATAGGCCCAGAGAAAGAGTGTGTGTGGTATGAAAATATTCTTGTATGTATGAGGTCTCTGCCAGACTGCAGGTTGTGAATTAACCTGTTTAGGAAAACTCTTTTTTGGGTAAACTTTGTAGGAGAGTTTGAAGATGGCTTATATGATGCATTTGTGTGCTCTTTAAAAATTTACTTTAAAAATTACAACTCATATATTGGAAGCTATGTCTTTTGAAGTAAATTTTTTTACCTTTGTGAGTTTGTTAAGCAGCTGATAGATACTTTGTTTCCAGTAACTGATTTTATAATTGTACAGCCATGATTCATTCAACAAATCTTTTATAATTGTACAGCCATGATTCATTCAGCAAATCTTCACAGAATGCTTAGGTGCTGAGAATAGAGTGGTGGGTTTTATTTTGAGTTAGAAACAAAAAACAAAAAAAAGTACAGTCTGTTCTTACATGGGAAACTGGTAAAACCCTGTAACAAATCTGGTGACAGGAAGTTTAAAGTAGGATTGAGTGACTTCTCTCTTCTGTTCAAAGTCTTGTGCCCCTGGTTTTCTTAGAGAAGTTTTTCCCTGTTATGAAAACATACTGTTCTCCTTTTTAAAGAATAAATGACCAAAGTTTGCTACCACTGTTACCATGTAAGTGGGGACACCGCTGCATGCACAGGACTTCTGCGGTGAAGGCAGCGTGCTGCAGGGTGTTTAGCTGGGTGTCTGTTAATGCTCATTGATACCTGATAATTTTTTGCAGCTATAGCAAATGTTAAAATAAGACTTCCTTGCATATGCATTTTGATAGCCACTACTAGAATTTCTTCAAAACATTAGCTAAAAATGGTACCTCCAGACCGTTTAGTTTTTGTAGGCTGGGTGTGGTGGTGTGGTGGTAATTCCAGTACTGTGGGAGCCCAAGGCAGGAGGATTGCAGGTCTGAGCCCAGCTTTGGGCGATTGAGTGACTCAGTGAGACCTTGTTTTTAAAAAAAGAGGAAAGACTGGCGACGCAGTTCAGTGAGAAGGCTCTGAGTTTAATCCCCAGTATCAGGAGAAAAATGTTTTCAAAAATATTGCTCAATTATTCAAAAAGAGCATACAAATTTGTGCTTGTTGTACACAGTAATTTACCTCGAAAGTGTAAGTTTTTGCCCTTTAAACATTTAAGCATTTCCTGTGGACCTACTCTGTGTTGGGCAGGGAATCACAAGGGAAAGGGTTCTCAGCCAATCCCAGAGAGCTGAGCATGCCTCCGGGCCAGCGGGAGGGTGGGGCCTGCCCTGCTGAGGACAGTGTCTGGAGTGCTGACTTGGATTCTTGTTTTGCTAGGATCATGAATCTTAGAAAGAGGAAATGCAGGGTCAAAATGTCACTTGTGAACAAAAGTATTTTAAATAAACTCATAGGTATGCAAAAGTAAAATAGTAACTTCTGAATCAGCTTGGTTCATTTAAAGAAGTAGCAGATCTGTAGTGAAGGACAGATAACTCATTCTGCCCTTTCCCCGTGGGAGTTTGCTTGGTTGGGGTGTGCTTCTCCATCAAACTGTAACTCCCCAAGCCTCTGAGAGGTCCCGGGCTGTCACACAGTAGGGACTTGCCTGTCTCCTAAGTCCACACTAATGGCTGCCTTTGCCGACAGGAACTGGGGTCAGGAGGCCAGAAGGAGTGCAGTGGGTTAGGTTGGGCAGTCTGCTGTCATTGCAGAGTTTGAAGGAGGGAAGTGCCATGGCGGTGTTTCATCTGTAGAACATTTTTGTTTGGTAGGTTGTTTTGAAACAGGATTGCACTCTGTAGGCTAGGCTGGCCTCAAACCACTGCAGTCCTGCTTGTCTGGGTTACCGGCGTGCGTCATCACGCCTGACTGGTGTTTCATGTATTTAGAAGGACAACTCTCTCAGTCATTTTGGCCCACTGTGACAAAATGCCGTAAGCCGGTAGTTTATAGTTCACCTAAATGTGTTTTCACAGTTCTGGAGACTAGAAATCGGGGGCACTGGGAGCTACAAGTTATGTGTCTGCTGGGCCCACTCATGGTTCTTGGCTAGCACTGGCATCTGCATGCCCACTTGGTGGAGGAGACAGAGCTTCCCCAGCCAGCTTGGAAAGGTGCTGATTCTGGTCATCAGGTCTCCCGCTGGTCTCCACACTCCACCTCAGGAGTTGGGGATCCCAGCACTCTAAAGGGGGTCCCAGACATGTAGGCCACGGCAGTGACTGCGGTTCCTCCCTCACTTAAAAGATCCTTGCAGCTAACCAGACAGAGAGGATGGACTGGAAATGAGGGATGACAGTGCCAAGCTGCTGGTATGAGGCAGAAAGTGGCTCCCCAGGATGAGGGTGCCTGTGACAAGAAGAGGGCAGGGCAGCCGATTGCTTGGGAGCCACTGGCTGGGTGGCTGTAGGGTTGGAGTGGCTGTGTGGGGTTGGAGTTCAGATCTGGCGGAGGCCTGGGCCAGGGGAGAGTCTCCAAGGGACTGCTGAGCTGATCATTGGAGTTGGAAATGCACAGCGAGGAGAGAGGAGAGCTGAGGGTAAACACTCAGCACTGATTGAGAAGCTTAAAGTGCAGGACTTCGTACAGAACGAAACAGACAATCAAGCATATGTATTCTTGCCAGGCATCAGCACTTAGATGTACCAGTGACCTCAGCACAAGTATAACAGCTATGAATACTGAACCAGATCCACAAAGAAAGGGTCAAAAGAGAAACAAACAAATGCACATCATGAGTGGTTGGTAACTGTATGCCCGGCTGTTCAACTGTGGTCATCTGAGATACCGTGGCATACAACCAGAGTCTTTTGATAAGATTGATAAAAGGCAGAGATAGGTCAGCCTTGCGCATGCATTCCACCGAGGAGCTGAGCTCTCAAGAAATCCTCTAAGAATGCAGCTTAACTTTTACTAACATCCTTGGAAATCCCTCACAGACAAGCCCAAAATAATGCTTTTCCAAATTTCTAGGTGTCCATTCCACTGTCCATGATACAAATATCCCATGGCAGAAAATGCACAGCTGTCCCAGAATTCTGCTTTGTAATTCTTTTATACAATCTTCCCCTTTTTTTAGTGGGAATTGTCATTTTGGAGATTTCATCTTTCAACATTTAGGATTTTTTTTTTTAAGACAGGGCCTTCCTATGCAGTTCAGAGTGGTTTTGAACTCACTTTGTAGTTCAGGTTGGCCTTGAACTAACAGTGATCTTTCTGCCTCAGCCTCCTAAGTGCTGGAATTTCAGGGGTATACAACTACGCCTAGCCTAGGATTGTGATTTTCAACTCAAGGGAATTTGAACTTTGGGGATTTCATTTGGGATCATGATTTTGGGATCATGATTGGCACTGATTGTGCTTATACAAATACATCTTTCTTGTGAGATCTGGAATCTAGGGATTGTTTGCTTGATAAACGTAGAAATGTATCATGCTTTTCAGTACCTGAGGTAGCTTCATAGGTACATGATCACTATTGTGATATGTGCAGGATCATTATTGTTTTAAAGTTTTAATGATTAAAATGTAAAAGTTAAACAATATAATGAACCAGCATTTACTCATTACCTTCAGCTTTTACAGTTCTTAGTGCTCCTCATTCTGTCCTCTTTCAAAACTCTTACGTACTTAAAAGCAATTCTAAGGCTTAATTTCATC